GACTTGAATCACTCTCCAATGTGAACCTGGACTCATCTGTGAAGAGAATAGATGCCCATTTTTGACTAGTCCAGGAGACATACTCTCTTGCCAAACATAAAGGAGCACCTCTGTGTTCTCGTGTCAAGAGGACACAAACAACTGGTCGTCTTGCATACAAACCTGTATTGTGCAAGGCATCTGCACACTGTAGTAGCCAAGATTCTTGTTTGTCTTGCCACTAAACAATCTATCATAAGCTGAGGCACTATAATGTTACTCCTCCTTCAGCCAAGAGAGCTAAATAACGGTCTTCTGCAGGTGTTGTAACTCCTAGGTCTGCCTGAAATATGTCTTCTAGACACAAAATCCTCAGATTTTAAACTAATTCCATAGTTGGTGGACCACACTATGAGAGACATTGAGATATCTAGCAGCATCAGCTTGTGACACTCCATCTCCATCCATCTGATTGCCCGCCACCTCAACAGATCAGGCAAACGACTTCACCTGCACATTGATAGACTCTCCTAGCTATTGTCAATGAAGCTGCTAATAACAAATGAAGATCAACACTCATGAACAAAACTTACATTTTTTTGCATTTTTTCTCTAACTCCTATATAAATACACCCATCCCTTGATTTAAACGGAAGATTGGTTTCACACAAAACCATGTAAATCAAAATCTTGGATTTTGCTATGTAAAATGAAAAAGTGCATAATTTAGTTGTTTATTTACACAAACAAAAATAAGGCATCTTAAAATACATAAAATTATACTTCATTCATAAAATAATAAACATATGTACAGAATAGAAGTACATGTTTATTTTACATTAAGAAAATTATAAGATCATTAAAAAAATTATTATAAGTTTAATCACTGTCATTACTTTCATGAATTATTAGTCTTTTCTTCTTTACTGGTATGATGTCATTTTCATCACTTGAGCGTTTTTGATAAGATTCTGCTTCAATGATTGACAAATTAGGGAAGATCTCAGATCGACAAGACTTTGTAGTGAAATCCGAAATTAACAATTGCCTAGGGTTTTTCTCTTCCCTTAAATCTTTGTAAACCTCCTCATATTGATTTAAGCACTTACTAAGCTCCCATTAGAATCGAAACGCTCGTCCAACAATCGTGTCATATTGTAAAAAATGATTACCTAATTTGTTTACCAATTCAAGTCCTACGCTGATGACTCTTGCTGCGGACGCAACTGGTTCAGAGATTGCTCATCAGAATCATTGTCTTCATCATGTTTACTTGTTTCATGAATCATGTTAACTAACTCATCCTCATTTAGTTCTTTATCAGAAATTATTTCTTCAATATCTGCCTGAGCTAAATCCTCAAAACCTTCTCCTCTTACAGTTTGAGCCAATTTAGTGATCTGAGAATATTGATGTTCTAATGGTAATCTATCATTCTCATCTTTAGCAGCATCTGGCCATACTGCTTTCCAGCATGCATTGAGCACTGATTGTTTAATCTGAGTATATGACAGTCCAACATGCTTAATACAATCTAAAACTGCAAATTTCTTCCAAGCATCCATAAGAGTAAGAGATTCATCATTCTCCATTTGTTCTAAAATATATCTGAAGGTTTGTGTGATATACAATGCCTTAAAAGTAAAAATTATTCCTTATCTAATGGCTGTAATAAGGAAGTTGTATTCTTTGGTAAAAAGACAACTTCTACATTTTCATGTTGTAAATCTTGAAGTTGACCAGGTACAATATCAATTAATAGTAGAGCCCTTAAAAGGCAATCCCTTTTTACATAAATATTTTTTTCCATCTGGGACAAACACTTTATTCACTGAAAGCTTGGCAGTGATCCATGCTTTATTATTAGCCATCCAATAAATAGGAAGGTTATTATCTTTATTCTTTTAAATCAGCATGGTGGTTTTGATTTGTTAATAACCAATGGTTTCATTATATAATGGCCTGAAACATTGCAACAGAAAAGAATTGTTATACAACTTTTTGCTACCTTATGACTACTAGCTGATTTGCAATCTTTAGCTAAATAGGTTCTTTCAGGATTTGTTTTTTTCAGAACAATCCGGACTCGTCAGCACTGAAGTTACATTGAGTTGGCAGCAATGATTTCAGCAAATTCTACTGGATATTGTTGTGCTGCATCCAAATCAGCAGATGCACTTTCTCCTTTCTATCTTAGATTATGTAAAGAATGTCTTTGTTTAATCTCTCAAACCAAGTATGACTTGCAGAAAAAGATACCTTTTTTCATCTGACGAAGTCGACGGTGACTGATTCTTAAGTGCTTTACATATCTTTAAAGCCTAATTTTAATAGCATTAGTATCAACTGGAATCCGTTTTTAATTTTGGTCTTCTATCCATATCACTAATGCCTTTTCCATATTTTTCATTGTATCATCTCTTACATATGAAATTGTGCTCTTACTGCTGCAAGTTCCAGCTGCTACACTTTTTCTAATAGACTCTATTTTTTCTAATTGTCCTTATTGTGGCTTCATTCATGGACTAAAATTTAGCAACATCTGTTACTCTTTCTCTATTATGTAGATGATCTAATACTTTTTGTTTCTAAAGAAATAGCTTTTCTTTTTAATTAATTTTTTCAAATCTTTTGGCATTATAAAACCTTAAAAAAATTACATAAATTTTAAAAATGGCCCAAAAAATATAAATGTTGAAAAGTTGCCAGTAAACATTCAAATACAGTGAAATATGTTTAACGCAAAATATCGGTTAACACGAAATAATACAATGATCTCGACAAACTACTATATATTTTCATACATTTTGTTTCTCTTAAATCTCTTAAACAAAGTTTCTCTTAAACAAAGTTTCTCTTAAACAAAGTTTCTCTTAACACGAAAAGGTATTTTCTCTGGGAATGAATAAAATACAGAAAACACCTGCCCCGCAGGCGAGATTTAAGAGGGGTGTGAAATGAAAGAGAGATGGTTTCACATGTTTCGTAGAAAAGAAACTAACTTGCTTTGAAATACCCTGGGAATAGCCTGCGACACGAGCCAGTTTTGTTTATCTAAACTACTTTCACCTTCCACACCTACAAACACGACACAAACATCTCCTCTCTCATCAGCTGGCTTTTGAATTCGGTGATGAGTACATCACAATGCGAGTAAAAATCTGTGAGTTTGATTCATATGTTGCATGCTGCATCTCTGTCTCTTCGTATATTGCACTCTGCATGGAATTTAGTAACTCCAAGGATGAATGAAAATTGTTTTCATAATGCACGATTCTCAAAAGTATCAGATTCTTTGGTGTCAAAAGAAATGGAGATGGAGGATATTTAAGCTGAGCCGACACTTAATGAAATGTTTGAGAAAGTTTCTGTATTATTGAACCATCCTACTGTATTACCGGAAGAATTCATTGCAGTAGTTGATGATAATGTGTGTACAGCCCCAACTATGGAAAACAAAGACATTTTGCAGTTTGTTTAAAGCTAAAAAAATATCATTGATGCAGATTCCGATAACGAAAATGAAATGAATAAGGCAGTTCCTGTTCCCCCGTCATCCAAAATGAGGAACATCATGAAAAGTATGCGCAGTTATTTAGACACACATTTCAATGGCGAAATGAATAACAAAATGGATGACATTGAACAAGTTGTTTACAATTTGATGCTAAAAAAGACAATGCAAAGAAAAATTAGAGATTATTTTCCAGAAACTTTATAAATGTTTTGATTTTTCAAAAAACTTTTAAAGTTCTTGTGGATGTTTTTGTTTCATTGATTTTTAATAAATGTATTCATATATACATATCTATATGTAAGCAAATGTACTCTAATAAACTTAATTTTGTTGAATATATGTTTTATTTTTCCCAATATCCTTTAACACGAAAAAATATTTCAGTCCCCTCAGTTTCGTGTTAAACAATTTTCACTGTATGTAGATAAAAATGATGTAAACTTTGCTGCTAAAATACTGATACTGCACTAATTCACATAAATCAAATAGCTTTACTGTTGTGAAATACATATACATACTACGGGGATTCCCCTTTTTACAGCACAGGGAATCTCCATCTTGTTGCCATCAGTGGTACCAAAGGAATGAGATTCAAAAAATAACTTCAAATATATGTATTTGCATATATGCAGCCGAATATACAATTTACCAAATTTTCGAAATCCGTTAATTTTTAAACCATGTAAACCCAAAATCGTAAAATGAGTACCGTATAAAATCAAGGAATAGATGTATTCACTTCTATAAAATAAAAATGGTAGCTATTCTTTTTGCATATATTTTTTTAAACTTTGTTACTATCCTGCATATAAATTGTGAATTTAAATGTTACTGACTTTTTTATAATGCTGAGCTTTGGAAAACATGCTGTTCCTTAACTTTTGGAGGGCAGTGTACAACCATGAAATTGCGGAAAAGGGATTTTTACGATACGTACAATATGAATAAGAGATCAGGTAGTCAATACAAAATGATGTATATACAAATATCAGCACTGTGATGTCAGCATGTACAAAGGGCACTCAAAATGCATGGAGACTATGTCTATAGAGCTTTTAGTAGCAAGACTATCAAATTTAACTTCCATTGCCTAGCTTTGCCAGTTAGTATTCCAGCATTCACTAGCCGAATTTACATTTTATCACTAAAGTTTCAGTCACCACAGTTATGTACCAATTGTGAAGTCTCTCATAGCGCAGGCAGTTCGAGCAACATAAAATGCAGAAAGGAATGAGTTTTTCCAAGCATTCTCTTCAGTAAGTGAAAATGTGACAGTACAAGCAGTATGGCTACGAGAAAACATCAGGAAGCCTTGACATATGGCAGAATGATTCGCAAGCTTGAGAAGGGCCATGGTTTCTCTTAGGTTGAAGTTTGTGTTTAGGCTTCAGCTACGAGTTAATTTGAACTTTTCTGTTTTACCTATGTCACATACGATTAAACTCACAGTATTTTCATGTTCTTTGAAAGTATCTGGCTTTGGGAAGTAAAAAAAGCACAACAATTTGGTGCAATTCAAGAGATTTATTATAGGTCATACAAGTTTAATATAAGTAATTAAAAAGTAAACATAAGAACTGTAAAACTAATCAAACAAGCTATTTATTACAAGTGAATACAGTAATATATATCTTATTCATGCACATGAGAGGCAGGTTGGTGTGAGACACTTTTTGCTTTCATAGTAGCTTAATCTTCTCTTAAAAGTCTCCAAATAGCATGTTTCACATTTGCGCCTTTATGGAAATATCTGTAGCTCATCGTAATTTTGAGATTGTTGTTGTTCTTGGTTGGGAGTGTATCTCTTTAACTTTTGTTGTAAGCATACTGGCATCGAAATAGACTTCAAATTTCATTCAGCAAGTTCATTAGAAAGTTGTTTTATGAACAACCTTCTTTTAAGAGCTGTGCACCCAATACCTACATGTACGATCTGAAAAATGATTGAAGTATATTGTAAAAAAGATTATCACGAGCCACCGTTTTACATTCTGAGACACATTATACGAACTGCACATTTTATCCGCGATATCTACTCCTAACTTTATTTCATCGTAGAAACTGATTATTTGTGGTTTCTGACATTCGCAGTAGAAAGACCAATAGCTTGGTCATCATGCAATGACGATACAAGGACATTTTTGTTTTCTCTTGGAACATAGGAAACCAAAACATTACCACCATTGCTGAACCCAAACTTACTGGAGTGTTGTGGTCTGGCTTTGTCCCAAATAAAAGTCAGCAGTTTCTTCAATGTAGTCTTTTTCGCTTTCCTGTTGTTCTGTCTCTGATCCTGCTTCACATTCGTCTACACCATCCTCTGAATCAATGTAGCTTTTGACATCAAAATCTTCATCTTTGACATCCTCATCTTCTTCATCTGATGCCTCCAATAAATGGTGAATTTCTTCAAAGCCTTGAGCGTTTCTCAAATCAAATATTTTGCTTTTGATATTTTGAAGCCTGAATCAAACAAAGATCTATAATGTCGTTATGAAAGTGTATTTGTCAAATTTTGTAATAAACAATATTTTAAATTATTAAAACAGTTTACAATTCATAACATGAGCAGGCACCAGAGCTGAAATACATACTCAGTTTTGTAGATAATAAAGTATTTCATTATATGAAATAGCTAACCAAGAAATGTGATACAGTATTAAAAAATCAAAGAAAACTTGTCAAATTGCAACATAATCAGACACCAATGATCATTTCATCTATCAACTGGAAATAAAGAAATGTATTGAGTGACTGACCTTATGACTGTCAGTGGCACTACTAGACAGGAAGCCAACTGGATGGAGAAGGATTGACGATGTTTGAAGGAGGCAAGGTAAACAAAAGTGCTCGAGGTGTGCTTAGCAGATCAAATGCGCCTGACAGAGTGTTAAAAACTACATTAACCCTCTGCATTGTACAAGCTTATAGATCTGTCATGAAGACCTGTATTTAAACACCATTTATTAGCTCAATTTGTATAATTACTTACTTTAGTCTATTTTCATAAACTTATATTCCTCAAGATGACATTTATATCATTAAAGTAAGAAATTAAAATATCTTTAATCATGCATGAATATATATGAAGTCACAAAAAATCTCATAACTGGATAAAGCCAACCATGGTGCTCAGCAGATTAACAAATACTTAACTCCACTTAAGCTTTCATGAATGACCACTTCATCAGCTAAAAGACACCTACTGCACTGAAATCAGATTAAATGCTATAGTGAAAAAAAGGTAAAACAGGACACTATTTGGATTCCAGCTGATGAACGCAGACAATTGACAAATACTATGATAGAAATGTGTATGTGTCCTTTAAGCATATAAGTTAAATAATAAATTTTTCATATACAAGGTAAGAAAATACTTTAGAAATCTGGAATTCTTCAAGAATTTTAAGATCTGTGTACCCAATACCTACATGTACAATCTAAATTTCGATTTTCTGAAATTCTATTTTCCTAGGAATTATATAAAAATTACATATTCAAGTACTCTTCTGTTATCAGGACCAGATTAAGAAATTATATATGTATGTGCATATATGTGTGTGTACACACATATAAATATATACATATATACATAAACAGATACATACATACACTACATACCTTTCTGAATCCACATATAAATATATACACACATATAAATATATACATACATACATACATACAATACATACCTTTCTGAATCCAGCCCCAATAACAGAAGGGAACCCCTATTCATTTAGTTTTACTGAAAGGTAAAAATATTACTTAAAATGATATATACTGCAATTCCATGAAATCTATAAACTAACAGAACTGTATAACAATAAGAGATTAACTGATTTTAGGTCAATCTCTTATTGTTACATAGATAACTTATTGCTAACAGATGATCTCTTATTTCAAATAAATATATATTTGAAAACTGTAATACTGTTACTTTCTGACAATGTTTCATAATTCAAATGCAAAGTACATATTCTATCATTAATAGTTTTAAAGACATTATGAGGGATGGTTCTCTTCAGACTGTATTAAGCTTCTAAAACTGGGCTTAGATTCTCATAACCTTTAGGATGACGCGATCCAAAACACTTTTCCCCCTGCTTTACTGTACCCTAATGAGAAAAGTCGTTAGGCTGGACATTTGTCCCTTCTATCGATGAAGTAAAATTTACATGTTTGTAGGACTCTGGACAATAGTCTACAATAGGTTACTATATTTGCGACTTTTTAAGATTTATTTTGATTTAATTTAAACTCTATAACATTTACTATTTCTGATCAATCTCAGTAATAATTTGTGAATTTTGTGTCTTTGTTTCTATTAGAAATTAGGAAAGAAGAATAGAACTTGGCAAAATATAACAAATATAAAGTAGCTTTATGTGCCTGTTGATCAGAATGCAATATTTGATAATCTATTTTCATTAATAAAATAATAGTAATGAATAATTTAATGAAATAATGATATAGAATTCCTAATAATATTCATTACTATTAGATGATTAGAATATCAATTCCATTGCTGTTAGATATTTGAAATAAACATAAAACAATAATAAAACTTTAAATCTGTTTCTTTTCTCTTAATTTTGTTATTGTAATAAAAAAAGAAAATCAGACATATATTAGTTGTTTGATCATTTAAATTTAACAAATATTACTTTGGACTATCGGGGCAAAGAAGGTATAGAAGAAGGGCAAAGAAGGTAGAAAGAATTTTCTTTATAAAATCGGATATTGCTTACGTTAGGAGGGAAAAAATTCTCCAAATACCCATATATTCAATTCATTTTATACCTGCAGTGTGAAGTAAAGTCTGATAAGGTAATTTCTTAAATATTTGCATTTTTGTGGTGTCCGTAGAGAGAGAGAGAGACAGAGAGCACTTTGAGGCTTCTTTTTAATATTTGCTGAAGAGAATTTTAATCTAAGATTTAAAATTTTAGAAAATATAAATTTATCAAAAATATTTTTCAGAACAGTTTTAAATGTTTACAAAGAATTCTACGTAAATTTTGTTTCATAGGCTGATTTCGTTCAAAACCATCGTCATAAGTTTGATTTTTCCTTGATTTTAAATGAAATGGATATACATATGTTCTACATAATAAATTTTATAATTTATTTTTAAAAGATTAATCTTTCGTACTTTCAAAATAATAAGGGCATACAGGGTGTTGACATTTACAGTGTAGGAAGTTTATTATATTTCTTTTAGCGATCAAAACGATTAGCCAGGAATATTTTCAAAACAAAATGCTTTCTTTTTCCGCTTATATTTGGCCGCAACTCTAAGACTGAGAAGCATATCGATTAGTTTTTCTGGTTAAAGTTTTAAACAATTCATCTGAAAATTTTTAAAAATGAACAGCACAATAGTTTCCGAAAATTCAGTCTTTATACCAGGATTATCAACAAAGGTCAATATGTTAGCTTTGTCATGCTCATTTGGTTGTCTTCATTCAAATAAATTATTAGCGTTGCTTTTGAAGTCATCGGCAACTTTATCTTCATTAAAAGATTGATTAAAACATATTTCTTCTGTATCTGAACAGTGCGAAACTGTGTCAACAAAAGTTTTCCCTTCTAAATCTCTTAGCAACTTATTAATTTCGTCCTGACTGAGACCTTTGAAATGAGGTGCCATAATAAGAACTGAATAAGAGCGCAAGGGTAAAAGTTACACTGAAATCACGAGAAAAAGCTCTAATGTTTAAAAGAGAGTTAGCATCTGTTTTATTTTCAAGTACATTTGCACGAGACGTCTTCGCCAAAATGCAGCCAACCAGATAAGAAACGGAACACAGTGCATAGCCAGGGGCTGCTCTGACACAGGAAACTGGATCACCTAGAGATTCTAAAGAGTTACTCTAAAAGGGGAAAAGAAAGGCTGGTACAACAGTTGTACCATAGCTGGCTTAAAAGCAAGTAAATTTCATGGTACAACAGTTGTACCACCGGCTTTAGAAAGTTCAATATAATATGGAAGCAAATTCTCAGATATTATGCTTTTTCATATAAATTAAAGTATTAGTTTAATTAAAACACCTACATAAAGCTTATCCATGGCCTTGGCTGCCAATTAATAAAATGGAAAAAAAATGGTCAATAAATTAAAATAACTTTTAGAGTCCTCTCCCTTTGAATGCATCTCATTCATGAAGAAGTCTTTTCTGCACTACACAGAAGTAATAACTCTCAATAATGTCCTTCCCCATTCTCATATTAAAGAGGATATGCAGAAGTACTTTTATCCTAGGGTTCAGCAATATTTTGAGGTACAAGACTGGTTTGGTTTAATTGATTATGGTCAAGCCTGTGAGAGCTGAAGGAAGATATGTCATTAAAGAGGGCTTACACTAAGGGAAAAAAATAGTACCTACTCGGATAACATAAGCAAGGCCAACTTATGCTCAAGGCCTGTCAGACAAAATTCCGGTTCCCAATTTCCAGTGGGTTCCTCAAAATACATCACTAGGTGACACTCATGAACCGCTACACTTTGGCTATACATTCAACAAATGTAACATAGCTCATTAATAAGAAAAAGTGTATTTTATTAAAAAGTATTGCTGTTTGCTAATAGTAATACAGGATGATATATTGTTGCATGCCATACTTCAAAATTTACTTTTAACAAAAAGTATATTTTATTAAAAAGTATTGCTGTTTGGTAATAGTAATACAGGATTATATATTGTTGCATGCCATACTGCAAAATTTACTTTTAACAATTTCTTTATGGTTGTATTTAAATAATTATTAGCAACATATAACTGATGGAAATGCTAAGCATAATACATTCCATTAGTTATACATAATACAGATCTAATACAAATACATAATTACAAAATTTCTTAAACAAAAACTAACATGATGTAAAATTTTAAAGCTTTGAAATTCTTTTGAAAATGATTTTTTCTGTCAACTTCTGTACATAAACAAGCTTCTTAATATGTATGTGTAGTTAGCTCAATACTTCTCATCTTACAGTTATTGTAGTGCACTATCAAAAATCTATCTGTCAACTCCAAATTTGTTTGATCTTTATTAGCCAATTTATATTCAGGACTTTTTTTTTAAATTTATTTCACTTCATACAAGTTATTGCTCTACTTTCTAGTGATATTACCCTCATAGTCCTCAAGAAATAAATGAATCTGTCAGTAATACAGTAAATAACTGTATACTTAGATCATGTGAATTGAATTTAAATGTATTCAAAGAATAGAAATATTTGTGTAAATTTTTATTCTGATTTGCCCAGTAAACTTCTATGATATGTATTTAGTTTACGTTCAGATACTGCATGCTAAGCATATATTAAAAAATCTCAGACAATGAGTATGCCATAGTTTATGAGCACTGATTATATTGCATCATTTATTGTGTTTCTTAAATTACATATTTTTTCATCTTCATGGTTATAAAAATATCCAAAATTTTCTATAATGGAGAAA